CCCTTTTTGCCCTTTTCTTCTTAGAGTACACCTTAGGATTCCTTACCTCTTTGAGTTTCAGGCCCAACTGTTCCGCCACTTCACCAACCTGCACTCCCCTTCCTTTGCTTACTCTACTTCCTCTCAATCTCACTACCCACTTATTCTCCCCTCCCCTTGAAACCTCGTTGTTCTCTTCAACATAGCCTTCTAGAGCCTTAAGTTCCTCTAAATAATCACACACCAAATTCCAAATTCTCTCCCCTTGCCCCAAACTACCCAACATCTCCACCCTTCCCTCCACCATCTCTTCACTTACTCTTAAACTCCCTCCTATATGATCTTCATGCAATAGTTGGCACTTTGGAGAATCTAGAAACACAAGGAGATTATTAGTATCCTTTAATCAAATTGACAATTTTACCAGGAGAGCTTGGTTCCACCAAAACAATGGGATTGGTACTACCATTTGGAGTGAAGCACAGCTGAATAGATCACTTCCAACTCAAAATGGCAACCAACAAACTATAGGAGGACTACACAAAAGACCCTAACCATCGGTTGGCAAATTCACTAGGGTACCCTCACAATGTGTCGGACACATCTTCCTCGAGCTCTCTGTGGAAAGCAATACAAGAGATATATCCTATCTTTCTTAACCTCATCAGATTTGATGTGGGTTGTGGCTCTTTGGCTGGGTGATATCCTTTCTGCTCCATTTTCATTGATCTATATTCAGTCTCTAACTACAAGTTCAAACCCATCTCAAATTTTGTCAATTTTTCACTCTAGATTGAGTTGGGATTTTGGTTTCAGAAGAGGTTTGAGGGACAATGAGTGTGAGTCTCTTATTCAACCCTTGGAGGACACTAGAGTATGGTATGCTTCTTCCAATGGCATCTTTACCTGTGCTTCTTCTTTAATACCCTTGTTCAAACTACTGTTGAGGCTGAATTTCCTGATGAAAGAGATTTGGAGCAAGCCCATACCACCAAAAATTCAAGTTCTGTGTTGGGAGGTGTTTTTAGGGAAGGTAAATACTTGCGACATGCTTCAAAAAAGGAACCCAAATGAATGCCTCTCCCCTCATATGTGCTCTCTTTGCTTTGCAGATGGTGAATCTCTACCCCACTTATTGATCTTTTGCTCTTTTGTACTGTTTGTATGGGAATCTTTTTGCTCTCTCTTTGGTTGTAGGTGGAGTGCTCCCCAGGATGTAATAAGCCTCTTTGATCCAGTAGAAAGGTGCTGAAATAAAAATCTGTAAAAGAAAAGAATATTTCTTGAAGAAGAGAAGAAAGGAGAAAAGGAAGAGAAGAGATTTGAGAGAGAAAAGAGAGCAATAATGCTGGCCGCCCTCTTCACTATTATTTATAGTTTAATAATAAAGAGTACAAAGACAAATATGCCCTTATAGGGCAGCTAACACATAAAACAATTAAAATAACTGTTCAAAAAGGACCCAACAAGAATGTTGTGGTCCCCACTTCCTATCTAAACAATAAATAATCAAAAACTACCACTATAGACTACACGATTTGTCTAAAACCTCAACAGATCCAAACTTTCTAAGGAAGCCAACAAAAAGAGGGAGGGTGATGTGGAAATCAGCAAGGGCAGCAGTGGTGTGGACAATATAGGAGGAAAGGAATGCAAGAATTTTCAATGAAAAGCATAGGCCAAAAGAGGCCATAAAGATAAGAGTTGCACATTGGGTAAAATCACTATAGCTCTTCCAAAATATCTCAATTACGGATATTGTAAGAGTGTGGAATGAAGTGGCACACACTGCAGAGATGAAGGAAAGAAAAGTGATGGAGTGGAAGCCGCTAGGCCCCAATAAGTTAAAGATGAACTTTGATGGGAGCTCTATAGGAAATCCAGGTATGGCAGGCATTAGTGGTGTGATCTGAGACTCCTCAAACAAAGTGTTGGCTATGTACTCAAGACCTTTAGGGGAAGGTGACTCTTTAAAGCTGAACTGTTAGCTCTGCTTCAAGGGCTAAAAATTGCCAAGCAAGTCGATTTTAAGAAGTTGGAGATAGAAGGGGACTCAAAAACAATGATATCTTGGACCAATTCAAGTAGTAATGTTCCTTGGTACTACAGACATCAGTTAAGGGAGATAGTAACCATAGCAAGGGAACTTAATGCCTCATTTACATGGGTTAGGAGAACTGCAAATGGAATGGCTGATTCTCTAGCTAAACAGGGAGTTCAAAGGCAACAGATTTTTTGGGCTTTATTGTAAAATTTTCTATTGAAATGTCTGTGTTTTATCTGATGTAACTCTGTATTAATTCTCTTAATTGAATAAAATTCTCATTTTTGCTGCTAAAAAATGTGTCRGAGAAGCACTTGAAACCTCCACTGGGACATGCTGCAAAAGTTAAGCCTCCAAAAGCAGGTTTGGACTAGTTGGACTTAAGTTTTGTTCCCTACCAAAGGAGAACTCTTCTTCCCTTCAAACCACCAGTCCAGCTTCAGAATTAGACAGCACAATCAAGTAAATCCAACCCTTCGTTATCACCTTCCTCCAAAAAAAGTTGTTTCGTGTTAAAGCTCTTTGAATCTTGGAACCCCTTATCAATTCCCAAGCAAATGCTACCAATACTTGAAGTTTCAGTATCATCGGAGTCACTTTCTTGTTCGCTCGACGAGGAATCCTCTCCCGTCTAACCTTCCCCCACTTCCGTCATTGGTCTTTTACTCCTTGGATTCCATCTAAGGATTAAAGCATAGATACGATTTGCCCGATACAGAGTGTATCATAGGGCTGCAAGTCAGGCTGGGTTAAGTCAGGTTGAGGCCATCCCTAGCCCAACCGTAAGTTTTAAACCCCCAACCCTAACCCTAACCCTAACTAAATTCCTTCAACCCTAACCCAACCCAAAGTCTGGGCCCAACCCAACCTTCTTCCCATCCCTTAAAATCTCATAAAACTATTTAATCTCAAATCTTAACTCACTTTTCACTATATATATTAATCCTATGTTTTATTAGTATTTGTTGATGTTTTTATTAGTTCTTTTAGTACAAAATCGGAAAAATAAGTGTTAGAAATGACTATAATTTACTATGAGTTATGACTTATGATAGATCTTTTATAGGCACCAAATATTAGAGAGGAGATGATGAATAAAATATTCAAAAAACATTAAATATCTTATTAAGGTTTTAATCTTTTCATTAAGGATTACGTGAAGTGATTATCTTAAAAGAAAGACATGATAGTATGTAGTGAGGGCTATACAACTATCGTACATCTAAAAAATCAATGTATGATATATAATATATATAACATATATTTATATATGGCATAATATATATAACATATATTTATGTATGATATATAATATATAGTGGCAGGATAGGCATAGAGCTGCAGTGTATTCTGTGACGGTGAGCATGGATATGGATACGATACACTAAGGCTACAACTTGGGCCAGGTTGGCCAGAACCCAACCCTAACCCAACCTGAAAAAGTCGGGTTCATGAATTTCAACCCTAACCCTAACACAAGCATCAATCCAACCCAACCCAAGTTGTAGCCTTAGTGTATCTTATCCATATCCATGCTCACCGTCACAGAATACGCTACAACTCTATGCCTATCCTGCCAGCATGCATATCARCACGATATGCCATTGTATCAGTGTGTATCGCACTGTATCGATGGATACAGCCTAATACTCACCGATACGAAGGCGTATCAGGCCGTAATTTGGCAACATTTCCAAACCTTGATTTAAGATTTAATTTTTCCCAAAAATTTAATAACTAAAAATTATAAAATATATTTATTTTATTTATCTTAAATGAATTATATATTTTATTCTACATATAAACTATATGTTAAAAATGAAAACATATTTATTATTTGAAAAAATAGAGTTATTATTTATATAAAAATGCTAAATAAATAAGTCTTCCCTAAAATTTAACAAAAATTGTAAATTATAATTATAAAAACTGAACTAAATAATTTCAGAGTTAATTTTCCCAAAAATTTTAATAAAAACTAAAAATTATAAAAATAATTTATTTTGTTTACCTTAAATGATTTATATTTTTTATTTCAAATTATATGTAAAATAAACAATTTGTGTTAAAAATAAAAATATATCTATTATTTTAAAAAATAGAGATTATTTATATAAAAGTACTAAATAAAAGATTTTTCCAAAAAAACAATAAAAGTTGAAAATAATCCGGAAAGTTTTCTGTAATGGCTTGTGGTGTAAACACCAGGATGTAATTTGTGTTTTTTATTTTAATAAAATTTCCTTTTTCTGTTATTATCAAAAAAAAATAAGAAATGGCATGCTGCAAGTTGAATGGTCTAGAAGAGCTAGGGGCAGGCCAAAAAGGAAGGAATTGGCATAGTCTGCATGCAGGTTCCATAAATTAGCAATGGATATTGGCACTGGCACTGAACAGGGTGGACCTAGGCACAACAGTTGGGTTAATCCATTGCAACCTGGGTGACCAGGGTTCAAATCTTGGAAACAGCCTCTCTGTGCAGGGGTAAAGGGTGCATATATCCGTCCCTCCCCAGACCCCGTATTGGTGGGAGCCTCATGCACTGTGCTGCCCTTTTTATATGGCACTGAACAGGATGGAATGGTGGAGCAGGATTCATGTGGCTGACCACACATAGTTGACAAGGCTTTGTTGAGTTGAGTTGACCAACATAATTTCAACCAATATCAGAACATGAGACAAAATTATAGCAAGGAATTGGCATGTTCTTCACTTCTATAATTTAATGAAGTAAAAATTTTTGGCCATCATATTCCAAAAGCTATAGTAAAGCACATGTAGGAATTGCACCCAGCAAAATTTTTCAAAACCTATCAAATTTCACTGAATTTTAACAGGAATATTTCCATTGAAAGGGACAAGTGCCAAAACCCACTAATTTGCCCTGGAGCTTCAGTCCTATCTTACAACCAAAACATTAAAACTTATATGGTAAAAGAAGATGATTACTAGTAGAAGGAAGAAGCTTTTGAGTCACCTTCCTATTGGGTCAATAGCAATGCAATAGCAGCCTGCAGTGTGAGCCATAAGGGTGTGAAGTGGACGAAGAGATGGGTAAGCTAATACCTCAACAGTGCCTACAAACAATACAAATCCCCAAAATTAGGTTTTCACCAACTGGAAAATATGATCCATGTTAAGGAAATAAGAATGGACAGACAAGATGAAAGTGAATTTCCCTTGAAATATAGAAATGACCAGAGAATAATTTTATTTCAATATGCATGAATAGATATACCAATTGATGTGCCAAGAGCACCACTACATAAAACAGGTGGAAAGAAATTATTCTTACCATTTCCAGTTGTAAGAAAGAAAACCTCCCCTGTTGTATTCCAAGCAATCTCATTTACCTGATCAAGAAGCATAATACAAAATTAATGCTCTGCAAAAAGTTGACGTTGACTAATGCAAATAAATCTGGAACAATCCTTCATGATTAGGTTTATACTTTTGTACCATGACAAATAGAAAAGTTCATTCTACCCCATATTTACCCAGTTTGTTGGTTTCCTTGGTTTGAATTGAGGATATGTTTCATGATTCATGGATTTTGAAAGAAATTGGTTACAGGTATGAATCTATAAATGCCCCTTTTGTTTACTTAGATTCCACATAAATGATATACATCATGCATCATTTTTTATAGAAAATGAAAATTTATCCAAAGATAGAATGAGGGTACACAGAGGGATGATAAGGAATCACCCTGACAAAAAAATGACCAAAGAAACACCCCAGTCCTCTTGTAACAAAACCTGTTCCAAAACACCCCAGCCCCCATTGATCTACATGCATCAATGAGACAATTCAACCAGTGGAAGTGTGAAACTTATGGTCCATACCAAAACAATCAAATTAATTGCCTTTTAGCATCATCATCAAGAAAAAAACACCAGTAAACAAATTCAGACAGTACTAAGAATTGAATGCAATTGGCAACTTGTATTCCAATTGAAAATAGGGGGTTGGTCATAAAATGCCATGCATAGTTAACAGCATCAAGGATAAGTGTTCTGTCCTTTACAGACATAAACTACCTTCAATTGTTATGCAGCAATAATACTAAATATGACCCAGGCATCAACCCAGTATTCCTGCTGGGTGGCAGATTGACTGACTGGTCTGAGAGCTAAACTTTCCAAGTTTTTAAAAACGAAAATCTTAAATAATAAAAATATAAATGTACATATTTAACTTATTTAACTTTTCCTGAAACTATATTTCAAAAATATTGAAGGAATACACGAACACATATTTTTATCCTACCAGCATTACATTATACCACTGTCATCAGCTTAAAGCTGTAAATATCAAATATGTGACTTTAACCTCCTCAAATAGAAAAGCCGAGTTACAAGACTAGGTCCTCTCAAGATTACAAGACCATTTACGATCACCTTAGGGAATCTTGATAACAAAGTTAAGATTTTATTAAATCAGATAATCTGACAAGTAGTCTCTGCCTGTTCTCTTCCCAGTGCTGGCCCATTAATAAATGAAAATTATGATGAGTTGAGAATTCGTAGTTGCGTTCTTGCAACTTATAATTTAAAGATAATTTGATGAGCAGACTGCACATTCACTCTACAGTTTTGGTCCAACAAGAAAAGTGAAAACTGGAATAATAATTAGATATTACTCTAAGCTAGAATTCACATAAATGAACAAAATTTTGGGAGTTTTTGGTTTCGTATCAGTGACTTAAAAGGTGTGCCTAGGCACAAAGATGAGGTGCACTTTAAGGTATGCTCCTTGCCTAGGCCCCAGGTGCAGCACTTTCAAAAGGTATGCGCCCACGGGCGGAGCCAAGGGAGTGTGTGTGTATTGGGAGGGGGCCCGCCGCGTAATAAGTTAGTGGGGCCTAGGGGTGGAGCCACGTAATAAGTTGTCCGCCGCTCCAAAACTTATGACACGAAGTAGGGGATGGGTAACTGATGCTTCCCTCGTTTTTGGTTTTTTTTTTTGAAAAGCATACTTTCCTCTTGTTTAAAACTACACTTTTTACTATTAATAACAAAATCATCAAAATCTACTTTTCCAAAATTTAAATATATATAGACATATTTGTTTTTTTTTTTAATTGAAGAAAGCCTTTTGTAATTGATCCAAACCTTCCCGCCATCTTTTTCCTCTTTCACCTCTAAATTATGGCTCTACTCCTTATCTCATCTCATTGTTCTTGCCAAGAAGACATCATGTGGAAAAATGAAAAACCCCTGTAAATGAGTTCCCCCCCCCTCTTGATATAGAGGGTTTAATATAAAGTTATATAACCATTCATTATCATAAGTAAAAAAAGAAAGTTATATATCTTGACCCCCAAGAGAAAATTCCTGGCTCCATTGCTGCATGCGCCTTGTGCTTCAGTAATATCCCATACACAAGGTGCCATCCAACTGGATGAGGAAGTTACTACCTTTAAAAATATCCCATACACAAGGGGCTTTTGTCCAAGCAGGCAATTGCTTGACAGAGTTTTGATTGCAAATGAGCAATATCAACTCTAGGCTGAAGAGTGGTGTAAGGGGTTTGCTTTGTAAGGTACACCTGGAGAAGGCTTATGACCACATAAGTTGGAAATTATTTGATTACATTCTTGTCCATATGCAATTCAGCAGGAGATGGAGACACTGGATGTGAGTTTGTGTGTCAACTTCAAAATTTTCCTTCTTGGTAAATGGAGAATCAGCCAGTTTTTTTTTTTAAGTTCTAGGGGGCTTTGCCAAGGAGACTTTCCCCACAATTATTCATTGGTGCAATGGAAGCCCCATCCCAATCAACAAAAAGAGCAGTAGAGGAAGGCTTTTTACAAGGTTTCACAGTCAAGGAATAGGGAACTGAGGTAACGTTGTTGCAATATGCTGGTGACACTCTTTCCTGCCAGCTGATGCAAATCAATTATTGTATCTTAAATGGCTGCTAATCCAGTTTGAAGCAGTTTCTGAACTGAAAGTTTATCTATGTAAAAATGAGATATTCTCGGTTGGGCAGGTGGATAATATGGAAGAACTAGCGGACATCCTTAGGTTGTCAAGTGAGGAAGTTGTCCACCACCCGTTTAGGGCTGCCCAAGGAACAAAGTATCAATATTGGTCATACCAAACAATTTGGATATGGATACGGATATGGACAAAAAATAAGGAGACGCTTGGATACACTAGGGAAATGCATACAAATTCCATAAATATATTAGTAACACTAAATTTAGTATCAAAAATAGCCATAAAGTTAAAATGCATAGGAAATGTATATTTTAATGGTATATATGAAGAAACACATTACAATCAATACAGCGGGATGCATAGATATCATACAGTTTTTTTTTGTGACTAACAATTTGGGAGTGGATATTCTCTCTTTTTGGGTGTAGGTGGAACCCCCCTATGTCTGTGCAAACTTTATTCTCTTACTCCTTTTTCAGGTGGCATTTGAAAAGAGGAAGGATCAAGTGGAGGTGCCTAAGGGCTGCTGTTTGTTGGACATTGTGGGAAGAAAGGAACTCAAGGATTTTCTCAGATAGGGAGAGGAGTATTGAAACTGTAATAGAAGTGATTCACTTAAGGGCAGCAGAATGGTTAAAGACTTCAGATTTTTTTACTGATTTTACTTCAGATGACTTGTTGAGAAAATGGAAGGAGATTGCCAGTGCTGCTCAGATTAGAACTGGGACTAGTCCTTGGACCCCTCCCCCTAATGGATTTGTAAAATTGAACTTTGATGGCAGCAGTAGAGGGAACCCAAGACAATCTGGTATTAGGGGAGTCTTCAGGGATGAGAAAGGGGTTATTTCAGCTCTGTTTTCAGGCCCTATAGGGATTACTCCCTCAGGGCTGATATTCTTGCGGTTCAGGGAGGAATACAAAGGACAAAGGAGTTGAATATAAGGAAACTTGTGGTTGAAGGTGACTCGCAGGTGGTAGTAGGATGGCTACAAGAGAGTAAGGCAGGGTTGTGGAACTTTATCGATGAAAAGAAAAACTATAAGTGGCTGACAAAGGATATGGAAGTGAAGTACAGCTGGGTGAAGAGATCTACTAACTCTTTTGCTGATGGGTTAGCAAAGCAAGGGGTGGCTCAGGATTCTTTATTTTGGGCTATGCTGTAATTTCTTTTTATTTCTTTTATGGGGGCTCTTGCCCAACCCGGGGAGTTAAGAAAGTTATCTCCCCTTCCTTGTAATTAATTTTGATTCTTATTAATGGAAAGCCGCTGTTATTGATTAAAAAAAAAAACAGAAACTGATTCATTAATATAAAAGAAAGATGTACAAAGAGGATAGAGGAAGAGATAAACTTTCTTAACTCTCCCTCGCCCAGGAAACATGCCTACAGGATTACAAAACAGCCCAAAACAAATGATTCCTTCTCACCCCCTATTTTGCTAAAGAATTAGCAAACGAGTTAGCATTCCTTTTCACCCATTGTACATTAATTTCCATTCCTTGAGATAGCCACTTACATGTTTTCTCATTAATATAGTTCCACCACCCGGCCTCCTAATCCTTTTGGAATCATTCAATAACTAGCTTTTGAGTCCCCCTCAATTAGAAGCTTATGAATGTGCAGCTCTTTAGACCTTTGGAGGCCTTCCAACACGGCCATTATTTCAGCCCTCAGAGAGTCTCCCACACCAATCGGACCTGTGTAAATGGCTAAGTTTCTTCCTTCCTCATTTCTAAAAACTCCCCCTTTGCTAGAAGAACCCGGATTTCCTTCACTACCATCAAAATTCAGCTTAATAAAACCATGTGAAGGTGGGGACCAACTTAAACTTAAGCCAACCTAGATATCATACAATTATTGATAATGCATCAATCAAGAGTCCAAGACATTTTATATAGATTTTTTTCAAATTAAAACATGTACAAAGCCATTATTATTTTATTTTTTATTAAAGTCCAAAGCACAAAACATGTGCAACTATTATACTCGAATTATTATATCAAATATTTTCTATTTTACTATTATTAATTTTCAACATTAACAAAAAAAGTCAACTAAAAAATTAATTCTCAAATGTTTGGTAAACAATGTTTTTATTTTTTTTCAACAATAAATATGTTATTATAAAATTTAAATTAAAATATCAATTATTTATAAAAATATATAATCGTAACTTAAATATATTAAATCTATTAAAATTTCAGACACATAGCATATGCAAATTCATAATTCTTAATTACTAAAATAATTATTCCATTATTAATATTTGTATTTCTATAAATTTTCTAAAATAAAAAAAAAAACATTTTTTATATAAATGTATATTAGTGGATTTGACATATTCAATGTATATTATATTCTCAAATATTTTGTAAACAATATTTTTATTTTTTAAATAATAAATATGT